TTGATACATGGTATCATTTAATTCAGATGTCTCTCTGTTTATTCTTTGTTTAGTTGACCTGTCTAATGGAGACAGTGGGGTATTAAAGTCCCCTGCTATTACTGAGTTGGGGTTAATCTGTGTCTTAAAGTCCTGTAATGTTGTTTTTATGAATTTGGGTGCACCAGAGTTTCGTGCATATATGTTAAGGATGTAGTGCCTGTCTTTGAAGGTGAGATGGGTTTTTTGCAGACAGCAAAGAGATGGATTTTGTTTCTTAATCCATTCGCTTAGCCTGTGTCTTTTGACTGGGGAGTTCAGTCCATTGGTACTTAAGGTTATTATTGAAAGGTGTATATTGGTTGCCATCATTTTGATTGCTGTTTGTGTTCTCTGTGTAATTTTGTGTTTCCCAGATTATATCTTGTTTATTTTCTTTCATTGCCCTAGGGTGTAGTTGCTTCTCTCTCTGTTCTCTGTATTGCTTCAAGTATTCTTTGAAGGGCTGGTTTTGTGGACATGTATTCTTTCAGGCTATTGGTGTCACGGAAGATTTTTCTTTTCCCCTCTACTGTAATAGACATTTTTGCTGGGTAAAGTATTCTGGGTTGGTATCTATTGTCATGTAGAACTGGAAATACCTTGGTCCAGGCTCTCCTGGCCTTCACAGTTTGCCCTGATAAGTCAGCTGTGATTCTGATGGGCTTTCCTTTGTATGCGATTTGTTTTTCTTTCGCTGGTTTCAGTATTCTCTCTTTGTTCTGTACATTTAGTGTTTTTACTATGATGTGTTGTGGGGAGTTTCTTTCCTGATCTTATCTATTTGGTGTTCTATGTGCTTCCTGTATTTGTATGAGGATGTCTTACCTTAATTTCATGAAATTTTCTTCTAAAATCCTCTTTAAGATCTGGTCAATATCATAAACCTGAAATTCTTCTCCTTCCTCTACTCCTATGATCCGTAGATTTGGTCTTTTCATGGTGTCCCACATCTCTTGGCATATTCCATTCCTGTGTTTTTAAAAATTTTCCATAATCTGTGGTTGAATGGTCCAGTTCTTCAACTTTATCCTCCAGTGTTGATACTCTGTTTTCCATTTCATTCATTCTAGCAGTGAGGCTTTCTCCTGTTGTTTCAATTTGGCTTACTGAGTTTTGCACTTCCTTCTTCATTTCTGCCTGAGTTTTCTTCAGTGTTCTATTTCTTTTGTGAATTCATTCAGAAGTTTATTTCTGTCTTAGTTCTTTGATTTGTTTGTTCCTGTGTTCTTTAAATTCATTGAATCTTTGATCATGTTTATGATTGTTCTTTTGAAATCAGTGTCCTGTGCTGTCTCTAGGGGGTTCTTCTTGTAGAACTCTTCTGCAGGGCTGGTGGAGTTTGGTGGGGACATAGTCTTTGACTTTCCATTTTATTTTTTCATTGTGATTTTGGCATGTGAATTTCTTTTCTGATTCTGTTTATGATTCTGATATAAGAATTAAGTTGACATATGCTTCTGTTTATATTATTGGGGTGCCTAGGTCCTTTACTTATTGGTTATATAAATCTGGTTGGTACAGGTTTTAGGTTCTCTCAGGTTTTATTTTGGAGGGAACTGATGGCTTCAGATCAGTGATTCATGAGGACCCACAGAAGCCCAAGTCAGGTTGCAGTCAGGTATACTGAGGCTTCCTTCTGAGGTTTGGACCCCTATTAAGCAGGAACTCAGAAAATTTGGGAAGTTCCCTAATAGGGGGGGCACTTTTGGGACTCTGTTGGTCTGCTGTGTTCTTAGCCCCCTATGCCAGAGGAAAGCCAGAACTGGCACCTTCTGGTTGTCTGCTGAGATCACAGCCGTTACACTGATGGAAGTCAGAACCCACCCTCTCAGGCTGTCTGCTAGGATCTCAGCCTTACCCTACCAAAGCCAGGTCTGCCCCAGGTCCTTGGGAGGGTCCTCATGAAATCCCAGTTAAGGTGTTGGGTACAGCACAATTAGGGGAAGCTCACTACCAAGTGGAAGCAGGATCTGGGTGCTCTCAGGCAGTCCCCTGTGATCTCAGCCCCTATGCCAGAGGGAGGCCAGAACTAGCACTCTGGTGGTCTGTTGAGATCACAGCCACTACCTTATATTTATTTTCTGATGTGGAAATAATTGTTTAGCATTATCTTCAGCCCTTATCTATAATTTTAGTCCCTTCCTAAATGACATTTTTATTCTATGTCCTCCTGTTTGATGATAGTATAGATGTGTATAGAACTTTTAATAGTCACCATGGAACCAGCCACCTTCCTAATATCTTTTGTTAATTTTAATAATATCTTTGTAGATTGTTTTTACTGTGTAGATAATTTTATTTATTTTTTTGCCTTTTTGAGACAGGGTCTCCCTGTAGCCCCAGCTGTCCTAGAACTCACTATGTAGACCAGGCTGGCCTCAAACTCACAAAGATCCGCCTGCCTCTGCCTCCCAAGTGCTGCGATTAAAGGCGTGCGCCACCACGTCCAGCTCAGATGAATCTTTTTTTAATGGTCCATTACTTAATTTTTTTTGTGTGTGTGTGTGTGTCCTTTATCATACTAAGGAAGATCTGTTCATAATTAAGTGGTTTGCCTTTTTTAAAAAAAACTATAAATGTATTTTAAGTGCTTTTCTGCAGCTGTTAGTCTTAGCGTCTCATTCCAGATCTGTTTAGGAATGAATATCATTATTTGTTTTTTTTTGTTTTTTTTTTTTTAAATATTTTATTTATTATTTTTATTTTATGTGTATGCATATATTGCCTGCATGTAGGTAAGTGCACCCGTGACGTGCAATGCCTACCCTGGAACTGGAGTTACAGACAGTTGTTAGCTGCCATGTGGGTGCTGGGATTTGAACCTGGGTCTTCTGCAAGAACAGCCAGTGTTCTTAACCGCTGAGCCATCTCTCCAGCCCCCCATTATTTGTTTTTTATTTGCCAACCAGTCTTGAATTTGTGAAATAACACTTGATCATCTTATATTCTCTTTTCTGAAATTGCTGGACTCACTCGGTTTAGGAGTTCAGTGTCCATATATATTGTGTATGAGTGGTTCTGTGATTTTGTTTCAAGACTGTACTGACGTGTTCTGTGATTATTTGTTAAAGCATACCACTTTTCCTCTGCCTCAGAGGTACACCCCCAGCTCGTGAGGAGCACCTACTAATGAACAAGGTTCTCATTCTTACAACTTTAAGGAATTGAGTTCTGCCAACAACCTGTGAATGAGCTTAGAAAAGGACCCTAAGGTTCTGATGAAAATACATTTTGGGGACATCATAATTTTTTGCTTTGTGAATCTGATTGGGACTGCTTGCTATGTTTGCACTTCTGACCTACAGAAACTGCAGGAATAAGCATAATTTAAAAAATTTTTTTAAAATTTTATGTGTATGAATGTATTGCCTAGATGTAGATAGGTGCACCAGTGTTGTGCAGTTCCCAAAGAAGTCAGAAGAGGGTATTGGATCCCCTGGAACTGGAGTTTCAGATGGTTTTTAGCTGCCATGTGGGTACTGGGACTCTAACCCAGGTCCTCTGCAAGAACAACTAGTTCTCTTAACTGCTGAGCCAATTGTTCAGCCCTGATTTTTTTTTTTTTTTTAAAAGCATTTTTAGTTGTTAGAGAAGTGGACATCAAAACCACAGACAGCTACTACACCACCTACTGAGATGGTTTTGACTTGAAAGTGAATAAATATTAATGATCGTGTACAGAAATTGGAATGCCTGTGTTTCTAGTGGGATTATAAAGTGGTGTTCCTTTTCATAGGAGAGTTTGGCATTTCTAGTTTCTTAGAAGTTAAGCAGGGAGTTAACCATATGCTGGCAGTTCATGTTCACATGTATGCCTGAAAGAACTGAAAACAGGTGTTGAAATAGAACTTGATACACGAATGGATGTTCATAGGAATACAGTGTCCAAATACTGTAAGCATTCTAATATCAATAGCAGGTGAGTGGTAAATAAGATGAGCTATATCCACAAGACAGAAGAGCATTCAGCTGTTAAGAAGCATGCAGTACTGGTAAATGCTTCGGCATGATCTACAGTGAAAATGTGAATGCCACACAGCAGTCCACACACTTCTTATTAAGCCATTTATGTGTCCAGAATAGGCAAATTTAGGAAGATGGAAAACAGAGTGGTGGTTGCCAAGAGACAGGAGAGACTATGGAATGATTGCTTAGTGGGTAAACTTGATGAAGCGTTCTGGAACTGGGTAGTAATGATGATTCCATTATGATTGTTTTTTATGCAACTGAAATGTATATTTTACGAGGGTTAAAATGGTGAGTTCTGCATAATAGGAGTTTTACCTTTTTTATTTAGCATATTATACCTATTTTAAAGAATGTACATCCACACTCACCCGTGTGTGAGCAGCCATAGATCTGGGCTTATCCTCTTGGTTGTTTTCCTGTCTCCTAGTTTGTCCTTTTTTTTTTTTTCTTTATTTAGAAATCCTTGTTCCAGCTTTTATGTCCTACCACAAATGAAATTCATCCTCATTTTGTGCTCTCCTTTGGTTTAATTTGTTCTTTCTTGGTTCTGAGAATTTTTTTTTTTTAATTTTTTGGTCTATGCATTTAAGAACAATTTTAATTAATTTTTTTATTGTTCTACATTGCCATTCCATTGGCAGGCAGGCGGTGCTTGGCTAGTCTAAACATACTGCAGCCGAGACTCTGCTTCCCTTCTCCAGTCTCAACGTCGAGCTTACTTGCTACTGTTGCTGGTACATAGCACCATTAACTCCCTCAGCCTTCATATTTCCTTAGGTTTATTTCTAGGCATCGAAAACCTTTACTGGGGAGAATTACTTTGTACTGATCTTAAAGAATAAAGGAAATAAATTTAAACAGGTAGTGTTTTAGGAGCTTTATGACTTCATCAACGTTTGCTAAAATTTCAGTGGCAGAAAGTATTAAGTTTTTTTTAATTAAATGTTATAAGAAACTTTTTACAGTGATATATGAGATATACATATAAATTCTCCTCTTCACTATTGTAGGAGCCCCTCAATAGCGAAGATGATGTAAGTGATGAGGAAGGACAGGAGCTCTTTGACACAGAAAATGTTGTTGTATGCCAATATGATAAGGTAAGGATTTCGTCTTCAAATGACTATCGTTTTTATTATAGTTTCTTGTCTAACCCAGTTTTTCAGCCCTAAACACTTCGGCAGCTGAGTGCTGCCTCTTATTTTTTCACTATCTTAATGAGAGAATCTTGTTTTTCATTAGCTTCAGCTACCTCCGAACTGAAAAGACCTAATTGTTTTTTTATTTGTTTGTTTTATTAAGAGGAGGACTAGGAAGATACGCAGGAATGAAAACAAATTAGCAGATGAGCCTTACGAAAATTGTTTAAAAATTTACTTTTGCTGTACTTTGAGACTGTTAAGGGATTTTTTTAAAAACAGGTTTCCCCAAGAATTGGTTATTGATTCTTTGTGTTCTTAGGTTTTAAACAGGGTGATTTCAATATTTTGCTAATGGCTATTGGTGTTTTTGTTGGGATTTTTGTAATTAGGGCATTAAGGTGGAATAAGCTTTTCGACAGTTATTACATTTTAATACATTCACATTGCATTGATTTCTGTGGTAACCATGCACTTTATTCTAAATGTTTAGTGAGCAGCTAGGCGTTCTGGACACTAAGGACTCGAGTTGTAGTTAGAAACATTTGTAGTTTGTGCCTTTCAGGAAATTTCCTTTTTAGATAAATGTGACATCTAGCTGTTCTATAGAAATGAATAAATAGCTCTGCTTAACAGATCTATGGGGAGAATGCCAGGACAATTGATATTTTAATTTAAAAACAAAGGTAAAATCAGGCAGGTTACATACCAGTTTCTTAGCATCTGCCTTTGTGCATCGTGACTTGGGATGAATGATTTTATTTTTTAAATTTTTTTATTTTTTTATGTGTATTTGTGTATTGCCTGCATGTGTGTGAGTGCATCCGTGTCGTGCAGTGCTGCGGAGGTCAGAAGAGGAGGGCTTCGGATTCCCCTGGAACTGGAGTTAAGGATGGTTCGTAGCCTCCATGTGGGTGCTGGGAATCGAGCCGAGGTCCTCTACAAGAGCAGTCAGTGCTCCTAACTGCTGAGCTATCTGTCCAGCTCAGGGATGAATGATTTTAATACCCTCTACCATAAATAGTGTAGCCAAGAGTATGAGGTTAAAACAGTAGATCACAATAAACCCTTACTGTCAGGAAGTCTTAGGGGGAACTGCTAAGAGCCAAATTGCCCAAACGTAGTTTCATGATGATAAGGTAACAGACAAGAGAACCTGGCTGGAGCATATTCTTTTAAGTATTTTCCTGTTGTAAGAGAGTGGTTGTATTTTCCTTTGATAAATGTTTAAAATTAATGTTTTAAACTAATAAATTGAGACTAGGTTTAGGTAGCCTGGGGGAAAACAATTTCATAGTTTTCAGAGCTGTAATTTTGAGAATTAGAACAATTGGAAGAGTAGAATTAGTGTTTCAGTAAATAGCAAATGATAGTCTGTACTCCAGGACTGGTCAAAATGAGGGTGAATGTGACTGGAACCAACATGAATTTTAGGAATTATGTTTTGAAGCCTAAACTTTAGAATTTCAACAATTAGTCAAATTTTTAAAGATACTGTAGAAGGAATACTGAGGTTTATATTGCCAAATAAGTCCGAGACTTAGTTTAAATGCTAATAAAGTGACAGTTCTCAAGCAGGGTAGTTAAAGGACTGTAGGGCATTTGGTGAAAATGGTATACATAGTGTAAGGTTTCAGCTTTATTTGTAATTTTACTTAAATGAGTTTTTTATTGGACAATTAGTGCATTCCTTCATGACATGCTATACCATCAAAGGAATTGCTTTTCAAGTTGTACTTTGTATTTTTGTTCAAATAAAAATGCTTACTATTTATTACTCAATATGACTTAGTTTTGAACATCTGGATTTATATAAAATTCTACATTTGAGTTTTGCAATTTGCTATTCAGCCAAATGCAGTTCTTTTCCTTGTCTGGAATTTCTCTTTATTGGCTACTTGTTATTCTCTATAGATTTCAGTAGCTTTCAGGTTGTAGTAACCTGGTTCATGCTGCAAATAAACTTGTATGTCCATTTCTGTACTAATTCATACTTCATAGGAATCAGAGAAAAGTGAAGATACAGGGCTTTAGTAAGTGAGCAAATACTTTCTGGGTACCTATGATGTGAGGTTGTAGTCTAGACTTGGTAGACTAGTTGAACAAAACATTCCTTGTATTTGGGGTGTTTACCATAGTGGAGGTAACTAAAGCATAATAAATTAATACAGCGTATTAGAAACTGATGTTTGCTAAGAAAAACAGAAAATGGAAAGGGTATAGGCTTCAATTATAAAATAGTCATAGGAATAGTCATAGGCCCTTTGAGAAGATGACCTTATAGCTGACTTGAAGAGAATTAACAGTGCCACTATCTGGTAGCAGAGCCCGAGTGTTGTGTTTGAGAAGCAGCAAGGAGGCCAGTGTGACCAGACTAGAGTGAGGGTGTGGGGAGAGTAACTGGGAGTGGGGTCAGGTCTGGGTGTACTGTTCTCACTGCAGGGAAGCTAATGGGAGATTTCAAATGGAAAAGTGGTATGATACAATTTACATTCAAAAAGGATTACTTTGCCTTTCAGGGTAGAGTGAAGTAGAAAAGCAAGATTAGGGGAGATACTGTAATAATTCAGATGAGAGATAATTGTGACTCTATGGTGATAGTATTGAAGCTGATGAGGGGTGGGTAGATCTTGATTTTTTTTTTTTTTAAAGGAAGAATGAACAAGATTTCCTGAGTTGTGTCTTAGAAAACTAAGAGGAATTAAGAATGCCTCTGGTGCCGAGCGTGTGCACACCTTAATCCTAGCAGGACGAGGAGGCAGGTGGATCTCTGAGATTGAGACCAGCCTCGTCCTTGAGTATAGCGAGTTCCAGGACAGCTGGGGCTACAAGGAGACCCTGTCTCAAAACAAAAAACAAAACAGCAATAAAAGACTGCTTCCAGTATACATTGGAGACAGATTGGGTAGTGAGACAACTCAGAAGCAAAAGGCTACAGTAGCAAGAGGGGCTAGTTAGGAGAGAAGAGACAGCTGAGTGTTGGATGTGCTGTGGACATTCAGGCCATCCACCCTCAGATGTCAATTTCATGTCTGTGTTGTGTGCTTAATCAGAATTCTGAGACAACTGTTAATGTGAGAGTCTGTGCTCTGAATTTAGAGCAATGGCAGAAGTGGCTTCCAATGCCTGAAGTAGTGTTTAAGTCTCCAAGGCCAAGATCAAGAAGTGGAAGTGAAGAGTAACAGGTTTCAGAACAGGGTAAAGTCCAGACTGTTTACAGAGAGCTGTCCATAAAGGGATATCTTAATTTTGAATTCTTTGACTCCTATTTCTAATCAAACAGGCAGGCGCTGAACAACATTTGCCATGGATATGCCACAGAGAGTGTGTGTACTGCAGGGTAGGCCATAGGATTTTAGGATTGGATTTTCAAAAATGTGTGCCTGGTGAGCATTTCTACATTACTGTGTGAAAAGTTCCTTGTTCTTGAGAACACTGTGAGTTTATTTTAGTAGAAGAAAAAAAGGACTGTAGTTGTATTGTGTACAAATAACTCCTAACTACTCTAGTGAATACAGTAGTACTAATTATATGTGAACAAGTTTAAATCTGAAACCAAATTTCAAAAATAATAATTTCAAGAGACAGTTTGTGGTTTTATTATGAATGGGTTTGTTTTCTTACTACATCTCTTGCATTCTCTTACTCTTTGTTTAGATACACAGAAGTAAAAATAAATGGAAATTTCATCTCAAGGATGGCATTATGAATCTTAACGGAAGAGATTATATATTTTCCAAAGCCATTGGAGATGCAGAGTGGTGAAGAGTTGCTTCTTTTCCTTTTAAACAAAACAAAGTGAACTTTAAAAAAAATTAAAGTGGACGGTTTCAAACTTGGGACATATATCAACCAAAACTTCACTTCTGCATGTCAGAAAGTGCAGTGAAGCAGAGCTACTGGAACAAAGACAGACCGCGACAGCACAGACACTACTTCTAACTGGCAAGCCATGGAACTGTAGCACCAGGGGTTTTTGGGGTGGGGGGTAGGGATTTGTGTAGGAAAACCGTTAACTGTCAGTTTTAAATACAGGAACCTGCCATTGGTAACTAGCATGTAAAGCTTTGTCTATATTCCTTCCTCCAACTTGGGCTCAATCAGAAGACACTTGTTGGAATGAACTGAAGACACTTTCCTTTTGATAGATTGAACTGAAACTGCTTATTGTATGTGGTTATATTTGGTAAAAATTGCGTGTGAGCTTTTTACAAAAGGGCAAGAATTATGGTGTTGAATTTTAATTCACTTGTAAGAGAAACAATTTAAAACTCATAGGTCTTAAATATTTTTACTTGTTATTCTCCCTCATTAATATATACCTCTTCCTTCCCTGCTTTATGAAACATCTCTTTAAAATTAAAAGAAAATTATCAGTGACCACAGTTTGGAAACAGAGATTGACCCAGGAATGGATGTCTATTTTGATTAGGTTTTCACACTTGTTAAATGTAATTTAAAGACTTGGGGCTTATCTTTGTTGAGTAGAATTAAAATGACAACTTACTTTCCATAAAAGTTGTGTTCATTCCCACACTTTAAAAAGAAACCCCAAATTGGCTCCTCAGGAATACGTTCCTATTTCACAAAGCTGCCACCCAGGTGAAATTGTGTATTATACTTGACATGTGAAGGTTTTTCTTGTTGGCTCAAGTGTGTGCTTACATATGCATTCAGTCTTTGCATAAACATGAGAGGATATTCTGTATGTTGATGAAGCATAAAGGCAGGTGGTGAGGACCTGGATTTTTTATTAAACAATTAAGTAATTATAAAAAGTTTCTTGTGTTTACTAGTAAAGGATTTTAGAATTTATTATTTTAATTAAATTTTTTAAAAACAACTTTGTAATTTGAAGGGAAGGTGTGGGGGTGGGGAGGAGGGAAGGTGGGCCACTAAGTACATTTTACCTCTTGGATTGGATGGTCCTTTCAAGCCGTTGATGTAGACTTGGGCTCCAGTTTGCACACTGGAAAGAAAGAAGAGAAATTTGACTTGTATATTAAAACTGAAAGACACTTACTGTGTCCATTAGGAACATGTAGCTCTATTTCTATGAGGAGCTCTAAGAACAACATGGCACTGCTGTGTTCGTGTACGTCCACCGCCCGGAACCACAGCAGCGCTTGCCTTCGCCTTCGTGTTCTAGTGACCAATTTGACTTCACTTGGTTTTCTTGACAAAATCTGCATTCAAGTTAACTTGTGTATTGATACTTTTTTTTTTTTTAATTTTGGTCTTCCATTTTTGTCTTCCTTTGATTTTATATAATTCCAGAAGTAACAAATACTTTGAAGTGTATTACAAAGGGAAAAACTGTGAGTTACATAGAGTGCTTTTGTAAGCACACATTTTAAAAGGTCTCCAGAAGGCTGGCTTTCTTTCCCATCCTCTCACTTCTCACCTCACTTCAACCAATTTATGTTCTGAAGTTTGGTATGAGTGCTGGTGTCTAGCACCCTAGTGGTTAAGTTTTGCTTGTATGCCGTAACTGGTAATACAGCTTTCATTTTTACTAGTCGTTTAGCTTTTGGGGGAAGTTCATCTATCGTTTGCGCAAAGCACACACAGTACTGTTGCTTATTAAGACTGGGAGCATGGAGGGAGTAGAATCACATGAGCCCCACTGCTCAGTTGTCCCTCAGTAGAGTCGCTAATGGGTTTCTGTTTACTTGAAGAAGCAGTCTGACCTGAACTACCTATAGAAGTTTAGCAGTGCTGCAGGGTTGCTGCAGTGAATCTCTTGCTCTAAGTTCTTATGCTGCTGAAGCTTGGATTACTGTATGATACTCAGCTCATGTCTTGGGCCCTCTATAGGCAAGCCTATTCATAGTAGCATTGTATACTGGCCTGTTTTTATAGCTATATTTTCAAATACGAACAACCACTTCTTTCTGAGTGACTCATGAGGGCTATTTTGAAGCAGGAAGTGACTATTTGTATTTGCACCTGTGTGTTGCCTATTAATTATGGCACACTAGGCAAATGCTTCTGTATGTGAAAACTCTGAAAGCTGGTCCAAACAACACTGCATACCAAACTGTGCTCTTATATGCTATTATGTAGTGTTCTTTTTTAATCAAGTAGCATGTTTTTTATTATACTAGCTTTTATAGTATGCCACTTTGTTTTGAATTCTTAATCATGCTTTTAACCTATTTAACAATTTTTTTCATTAGGTTCCATTAAAATGTCATTACTTTGAAAAGGCAAGGGATTCCCACTTGTGGAATTTTAAGATGAAAGTAGCATGTTTATCTAAAAGGAGAAAATAGTTCAGACTTGGAAATACAAATAAGCAGTGGTTCCAGAAGGCGATCTCTTTAGATTTGCACAAATGGTGATGGCACCTTTTACATAAAATCACATTAATAGTGCTAAGGTAAATTTCACACAAAATGACTGAAGTGGAAATGTGTGCCTTTCGGTATCTGAACTCTTGCTTGGTGGTCATTTGCATAAGCGTAGCACTTAACTGCCCGCGAGCACATGTCATTTCTGTAGAGTGCACCCGTGGCTGATGTAACTCTGTAATGTGCAGTTTCTAGAGTAAAATGTCTGTGATATGAGGGGGAATCTTTGTATTGGGCTTTTATATTCTTGAAATGTTCACAGTTCTGTTAAACACATGTCACATTTAACACTGTTGCCTTTTTAAAAGTCAAAGCCACTGATGTATATCGCATCAAGGTTTGCGCAGTGTGTATAGTGATAAAAATGTATTCTTGACAAGCGTAATAGATTTTGGTTTTGGAAGACAAGAACTTAAGAATATAGCTTTTGTATAAAGACTTTCTTTTGCTATATTAAAAATCAAGGATCTTTTTTTGGTTTGGGTGGCTTTTATGGAGGAATGTAGAGTTGTCGCCCTCTTAAGAATATTTTTTATCTCATAGCAATAATGTCACCATATTACAGAGGGTAAGTATTTCTTGTATAAGAAAACAGACACAATATGCTCTTAGGACTTTTCCCTTTATAGCAGCATTTTCTTCCACTTGAGAAAGTTCTTATATTTTCTGATGATTTCATCTTGAACTTTTGAGCTTTTGTGCAATGTACTATTTTATTGATCTTTGTACCTTTTCGTTTCATGTTTCCTACCTATCTGAATCAGCCATAGCACATTTTTTAATTTTTTGCTTAAAAACAGTTGTTTTATATGTTTTCTCGTGGGTTTATGTTAGGTTTGCATTTTAATCTCTTACCCTATGGAAATTATTCTGAAGTTTATATTCTTCCCCTCTGAAGCCTGCCTCTGTCTTTTGTCATCTTTCTTGCATGATTTAAGGAAGAACACATCAAATTTAATATTTTTGTTTTATTTTGAGAAACAAAAACTTCTTCCCTCTTCAGGGAAAAACAAACACTGAGTGGGTAACGACTCATTTGGTCAAGTTTCCTTAAGTCAGTCCAGTATATACAGGGCTACAGCTGAGGAGGACCTAATCCTTGGCTGTCCTGAGCTACTGTTGTCAACTGCTGTTGTACATACTGTTATGTGTAAGGGCGTAAATATATTTATTATGTTTATAAAATTGATTCTGTACAATTGCAGATCAAGGTTACGCTTAATGTGATCTATGGGATGTTACGTTTTAAAGACCACCTTGGAATACGATTTAGAGAGCTTAGTATATTGATGTACTAAGACTATTTTAAGTTTAATATTTTACCTTTGCAAAAACTTTAATTAAAGATGTTATTTAAAAAAGTAATGTTGCTTGCTTTGCTTACTAGTCTGTGACATTGTTATATGGATAACCAAATAAAATTACGCAGTTTAGAAAGGAAATGCTTGACCATGTTCATGAGGATAAGTTTAACAAAAACAAGGGAATCATTCTTTGTTGGGATGTCAGATGGAATTGCTAAACTGTGTTACAAATCCATAAGAGCTTTTAAAAGTTGTATTTTCCAGGCACACAGGCTTTTAGGATGGGTAAATTCACACTAACTAAATGTAAATTGAAATTAATGTAGTTAACATTGTATTAAATATTTCTACTCCAAAGCATAGATTACATAGGATAAAATTATTCAAGAATATTATTGTTTTATTTCTTTGGCTAAAACTGTTTTCTCTTAGTTCAGAGTTTGTAAATAATTGCTTATTAGGAGAATTGGGATTATTAAGGTTTGTATTACATATTGAATATATTTTGTGTTATTTTAGAAGATATTAAATTACTAGCAGTATTTTGATTTTATAGTTAATTCAAACGAATCATTAAGAGCTTGCCTTTTTGTAATTTTTTATCCTGTTACAGACTACTTTATCTAGGAAACATGCAGATTTTAACTATTAAAATCATAATAAAGATATTTTATTTATTGCCAGCAAATCTTGTATTTCGAAGTTTTAATTCGGAAGTGGTTAGTTTTGCAGGATTTCTCTCGTTGGAATCCAAGGTGACTGCAGATTTAGGATAGACTTACATTTGTGCCCTCAGCTTTGAAGGGGGATGGGATGGCTTAGGAAGGTAGACACTACTTAGTGATTATCATGCCTATGTAGTAAGGCAGGAGTCTGCCCAAAGAGCAGGAGACAAAAACAAAGGTAGAGGTGCCAAGCTTTCATCTTGTTTTTATTTTATTTTTAATTAAAAACATTTTTGTTTTGAGATAGGGTCTCATGTAGCTCAAGCTGGCCTCAAACTCACTATGTAGCCAAGGATGGCCCTGAACTTCTGATCCTCCTGAATCAACTTCCCAAGTACTGAGATTACAAGCATGCACTATCATATCTGGTTTTTGTGGCGCTGGGGATCAAATCCAGGGCATGCTAAGCAGTCTACCACCTAAGCTGTCTCCAGCCCCTCATCCTACTTTTAATTATGTCGTGGGCCCAAGTCAGAAGTCAATGCTTTTAAGCAAAGCAGTTTCTAAGTGCCTACTACAACAGTGTTGAGGGCTTTTTAACTATATATATATATATATATTATTGTGGCAAAATAAAATTTGATATAACCATTTTTATATGTACAACTCGGTGGTTGAGTTTTAAACACATATTGGTGAGCTTCATTTATATTATCTATTTTTTTTTCTTAAAATTTCATGTAAATGAAGGAAATTAATCACAAAAAAAGACGGCATAGTGTATGAATCCACTTGAATGAGGCATTTATAGTAGTGAAGTTCTTTCTGCAACTGTGTGAATATATTTAACAATATTGCAAAGAACACTTAAAATTGGTTAAGATGGTAGTTTAAAAAATTTAATCCATTTATTTATTTTAAATATTTTTATTTTAAAATTTATTAATTTATTTTTAACTTTATGTGTATGAGTGTTTTGCCTGAATATATCTAAGTGTACCATGTGTGTGCAATGCCTGCAGAGGTCAGAAGGCATCGAATCCCCTGGAACTAGAGTTAAGGAGGGTTAGCTGCTACATGGGTGCTGGGAAAAACGTGGGTCCTCTGCAAGAGCATCCAGGGCTCTTAACCACTGAGCTCTCTCTCCAGCCCCAGATTTATTTACTTCTGTTTTTTGTGTATGAGTGTTTGCCTGCATGTATGTGTGTGCACTATGTGTGTGCCTGGTGCCAGCAGATGTCAGAAGAATGTGTCAGATTCCCTGGAGAGGGAGTTACAGGCAGTTGTGAGCCACCCAGTGTGGGTGCTGGACACTGAACTTGAGTCTTCTGCAAGAGCAGTATGTGTTCTTAACCCAGAGCCACCTCTTCAGCCCCAATGAGTTTTGAGAGGAGAAGAATGAAGAAAGCATCAAGATTTAGTCTTACCACATTAAAGGATGTATTGCCATTGTGGATGAATGCAGCTTGCACTTCAAAGGGAATAAGAGCTTATTCTTGAACCAAATATGAGTGGCCATGACTAGGAACACAGTTGCCCCAAATTACATGTTCCAATGTAGAAAGAATTCCGTGAAGTTTTTGTGGTTACAAAACAAAAGAAAGTCATAAACCAGGCAATTTTCAAATGCATTGGTGGGAACCTCAGGTAGACAGCTTACAACAAAGTCAGGAAGTCTCTGCTACAGGTTTCAGATGCTGTTTGATGGCATTCTTAGCTTTGTGTTGGTGGAAGCTAGTGGTCTGTTAAGATATTCCAAAAGGTTTTACCTGAGGATGTCAGCTAGGTCAGACACAGAGGTGGCCAAAGAATGGCTGTTAAAGGTCTCTTACTCATGTGCTGCTCTTATCCTGGTCTAGCTTGCCATGCTGCTCTTTCTTCATCTAGTAAATGGTCGTCTGCTTTTCTTCTCTTCTGTCTCATTACAGTCTATTCAAAGACTGACAAACCATTCTCTCATTGTGGCCAAATTGGGTTACTGCCCATTTTTGTATACCCTAAGAGCAAAGAATAGCTTTATGTTTTTATTTTATTTTGTTTTGCCTGTGTGTGTGGGGGGGGGGGGCTGTTGTGTGTGCTGTGTGTACATGTGTGCTTGTGAGTACATGCACACATGGGAAGGCTAGAGGTCAACACTGATGTCTCTTTAATCAGTCCCTGTTCACTTTTGTTTTGAGACAGTGTCTTAATTTTTTTTATTTATTTTAATTTTAAGTGTATGAGTGTTTTGCCCACATATGAGTGCACCACATGCATAAATGCTCACCAAGGCCAGAAGAGGGCATCGAATCCCCTGGAACTGGAGTTACAGATGGTTGTTAGCTACCATGTGGGTGCTGGGAGCAGAACCTGGGTCCTCTGCAAGAGCACCCAGTGCTCTTAACTGCTGAGCCATCTCTTCAACCTGAGACAGTGTCTTAAAAACCTGAAGCCCATTGATTGGATTAGGCCAGCTGGTCAATGAGCTTCAGGAATCCATCTGTCCTATTCCTCCACATCCCACCCCCATGCTGAAGTTATGGGAAGGCCACTACCCTGGCTTTTAACATAGGCTCTGGGGATCCAAACGCAGGTTGTAGGGCTTAGCAGGTATTTTACCAACTGGCCCATCTTCCCAGCCCAGTAACTTCGTATTTTGAAATGGTGAAGATGTAAAATATTTTTGAAGCATACGAATCACAGGAAATGTAAATGTCAGCATTTATTTTTAAATTTTATTTATTTTATGTGTATGCGTGTATTGTGGGCATGTAGGTAACTGTACCTGTGTCCTGCAATGCCCATGGAGGTCAGAAGATGCTGTCGGATCCCCTGGGACTGGAGTTATGGACAGTTGTTAGCCGCCATGTGGGTGCTGGGATTCGAACCTGGATCTTCTGCAAGAAAAACCAGTGTTCTTAACCATTGAGCCATCTCTCCAGCCCCAAATGTCAGCATTTGTAAATGACGTTCCACGGGAACTCAGATGCAGTAGTTCATTTTCCACTTCAGTAGCGGAAGTGAGCAGTTTTGGCAGAGTCTGCACAATCCACTGCACCGGACACGACTGCTCTTCCTTTACGGAACAGTTCATCAGCCTCTGGTGCATCCTCAATAGCTCAGCCAGAGTGGTTCTCTCAATGCTGAAGTCACTCAGACCCTCTGCACAGAGCCTCCAAGAGGCTCTTCAGTTCTCCAACAACAAAAAGCCCAAGTCCTTAAAGAAAGCCTGTGGGATGTGCGCTGGTTGTCTCTCAGCTTTTATCTTCTACAAATTTCCTCCTGCTGCCTTCCCCGAAGCTGCTGTCTTCCTCCTGTTCCCAGATCGCACTCTGCACCTCTGGCACTGGCTCATCCCTATCTAGAATGTTTTTCTCCCCTTGTTTGGGTAAATCCCTTCCTTTCATCAAACACTGGCTCAAATAGCACTGGTGTCATGAGGCCTTCCCTGAGCACCCTAACTTACTATTGTTTTTGTTTTTGTTGTTGTTGTTGTTTTTAAATTGGTCTTTTTGAGACAAAGTCTCCCTGTTGCCCCAGCTGGCCTGTAACTCACTGTGTAGATCAGGTTGGTCTCAAACTCAGAGAGATCCTCCTGCCTCTGCCTCCCAAGTGCTGGCATTAAAGGCAAGCGCTACCACGCCTGGGCTACAATTTTTTTTAATATTATATTTTTTACTTTTATGTGAATTGCCTGCCTGTATGTAAGTGTACCCATGTAGTGTAATGCCCATGGAGGCCAGAAGAGGCTGTTGGATCCCCTGGGACTGGAGTTATGGACAGTTGTTAGCCTCCATGTGGGTGCTGGGAACTGAACCCTGGTCCTCTGCAAGAGCAGCCAGTGCTCCAGCCCCCTAACTTAGAACCGTAACCTGTTCTCTTCCTGCCCAGTCCCTTCGCGTGCTGTGCTTCACATCCTCTCCTCACATACTATATACCAAACATAAGCCCCATAGTAATTAGTGTATCCAAGAGCCTAAAATAACCCCTGGCACATAGTAGATGTTGAATAAATATTTGACTTTGATTTGAAATGAATCTCTGATACATTACTGTTTGTATTTATAACGTGTTTAATTGGTGTTGAGCACTTAAAAATATATCCTCTTAACTATAACAGCGTAACTCTGACACAACATAAACATTTGGCCACTCTCTGCTTTATGACATGCTGGGCATCTTTTCTAGTTGAAAAGTAGAGCTGGTCTTCTATAAATTCCTAAAGAGTATGAGAAAAGATCTTACCTTGCACTGTTTCCTCTGAAAAAAAAAAAAAAAAAGTTCATTTGCCAAGCCATCAGTCTTATAGTAAGGAAGTATTGACTGTAATTCTAAAGCCTCTATTGCCTACAAAATTCAGTCTAAACTTCCCTTTTAAAAGCACAAAGAATGGGTGATCCACATTTAAGGAAAGATGTTTGATTAAAACTTTTTTTTTTTTTTTTGACTCAACTGGTTATTCAGCCCTTAAGAAGGCTGCTTCTTTCTCTACCTGGGCATCTTTTAAGCTTTTCTGCAGACACTGTCCTTGTGGTTCTTCAGTGGGGCTATTCACTGGCCAGGCTTATTGGATAGCTCTACATAGTTTATCCCTCAGTAAAAGCAATACTTGCGCATACAGCATCCAGTGTTGTGATGATACCAGAGATCTCGTGAAGGTTTGGCTGATATGTTATTTAGTTTTTGTTAACTTGACACAAAGCTGGAATCACCTGGGAAGAGATAATCTCAACTGAAGAGATTCCTCCACTGGATTAGCCTGTGACCATGTTTGTGAGGTATTCCCCCCACCCTCTAGCCCTTTAAAAATGTTTTTATTTATTTGAGGATGTCATACTGTATTTTGATCATATTCAGACTCCTATCCTCTCTACTCCCATTTTACTACCCTCTCCAACTTCAAGTCTTCTACCATTATTTATCTTTTTTTAAAGGCATATTGAGTCTACTTTGTGTTTCCAAAGTGCTCTTGGGTATGGGTTTATGCCTTGAAGTCTGGTCAACCTACCAGGCATCACACCAATAAGGAAAACTGA